AAAATCACCATCACTTGTCTCCACCATTTCCCACCATTGTCGCCAACCACCATCGCCGCCACCCACTGCCACCAACCACCACTGCAACAACTGTCACCCACCCACCACTCAAAATAGTGAAAAACTGGTGAACTCAAAAAATATTAAAGAAAAAAACATAAACATTGAGTTTTAATATAATGAAACTCTTAATTCACAAAATAGTGAAAAACTTGCCTACCACCCACCATTGCTGCCAACCACCACCACCCGTCATTGCCACCACCACCCCCACCATCGTTGTCCACTACTATACACCGTCGCCACAAACCACCACCTCCCACCTCCACCACCTGTTGCCACCCACCATTTGCTACCACCCACCACCACCATCACTGCCACCTCCACTCACTATTTTAAAGCTTAGTTGTTGTACTTTGTTTTTGTATTTGAACTTACTATTGTGTAGTGAATCTTAGTGAAGTTAAACCTTTCAATATTGTTGTCTATTTTCCTTAGATTTTCATGTCGTTTGTTGCCGATTCCGATTTAATTTTGCTTCCGGCTAAGTTGAATTCCAAGGATTGGCCAATTATTTCTCCATTTTGTTTCATTACGTTAGTTGCTAATCTAAAAAATTTCACAAATACAAGAATTTTTTATTTTATTTTGCAACATATCACCATTCGAATTTCCTAGTTCACTGAAGAGACGACCTCAGATTTTCTGAGTTATAAAATACATTACATACATCATCAGAGAGACAAGATTTTTTGGGAATCAAGAAGCCATGATAAAGTTGGCTTGGTCGAGAGAGTCATCAACATGGGCCGCAATGTCATCAATGGCAGCCTCCAAGTGTGCAAACCGTTCATCAAAGGAAATAACCTCCTCCAACAAGACCGCATGGCTAGTTTCAAGCTCTAAGATTTGGCGATTCATTGAGGCAAGATGGTCATGACATGATTTGCATTAAGTGGAGAGTTTGTTGAACTGCCACACGTTAGGCTTCGGACCAACTTGCATTTCTTGTCAACCATTAACAATAGTGAGACAATCTTGTTATTTCTGATACAAGGGCTCACCCTCTTCCAGAAGCACAAGAAGCGCGTCAACAAGTCAGGCTAGTGTTTAATAGTCTTCGTCCATATGCAAAAAAGATTCAAAAAGAGCTTAGATTGCGTGAAGCTAAGAATCAATGCGATTTAGCTCTTCTAACAACTCGTCTAGGTGATTGTCCATGACAAACTTCATTTTACTACAAGCCTCCTCAAAGTCAAGATCTAAGATCCATTCTACTTTTTGGTAGAAGATTGGACCAGCAGAAATTCAGACTCTTAGAAAAGCCAGCAAAGATCTAAGACTTGCTTCTGAGAAAGAGGTTGAGGCTTGAAAAGGTATGGCTTCTTGAGCCAGTGCAATGTCTTGAGATGGGTCCATTGCTCGACTCCACTCTGTGGCCTTGGTTTGTGCAGCGGCCTAATTAGCTTCTAAGCCTGATGAAGTAATGGCTGAAGTTGCCTGAGCGTCTAGCACATCAGTAGGAGCTTTTACTATTTAGTGGTTTGACCACTACTTCTTCAAAGGAGTTGGAGGGGGAGGCCAGAGATCTAGCGTCTGTAACGAAAAAGGCCAGAATAGATTTAGAGGTTGGCCCAAAGGGCTCAAGACTATCAAAGATGCTATTTTGTGATGGGTTCGTAGAAATAGGGATAGAAGTGGTAGATAAAGTTCCATTGCACTAACGAACACGACAAACAAGAGGAGCATTATCAGCCGCTTGGTCACTAGCATGTTAGGTCGCCATGTTCGGGTTAATCATGATAGTAGTCGAACTTTGGTATTTCTCTCTAAACCTTGAATTATGAGCATAAGGTAAGCTAATACAAGATGAAAGTTGAACTTTCATCGAAGGATTTGTTCAAGAGGCTAGCTGACGAGCCAAGGGTGAAGAAGAGTTATGTGTAGAGCCAACCCTTGGAAAATGGGGGATACGAGCTAGAAAATTCATTCTTTGGATCATAGTGGGAAAGTTATTTTTGAACTACTTGGCAACGTAACGTTCCTATCATAATCTGAATAACTCAGTGATGTTAGGCATGGCCTTGAAAAGGACCATGTGGAAAGATCAGCAACTTGTAGAGTAGAGCCGAGAGATTTTCCGAATCAAGGAAGAATTGGCCAAAGTAGGCTGATTAGTAAAATCAATATTAAGTGTGGTGGAAAAAGGATGAGTGATGTGTTGAACCAAACCAAATTGCTACGCAAACTATTGAGGCATGTAAACCTCCTTGCCACTACGAGCATTGGAATTAGTTGGGGGCCCAAGGCCATAATTCAAAACTATGTGAAAGAGGTAGAAGAACCTGGCATCCGTATACTAAGTAGATTGATCATAAGGGGCCTCCCAAGGTGATAGAGAAACCATGCCGACTGCAGTTGCAAGCAAACGATAATCAGACAGGTCATGAATTGGTTTGTTAATAGAAGAAGCTAAAACACTCGACAAAAGTTTGTTTATCGCATGGGGTTGTAGCAAAAAGCTAGCCATAAGTAATGTTAGGATCACTGGAGAGAGCAATAGAAAGCTCTGAAAAGTAGGCACGAAGCTATAACTAAAGGACCCAGAGAGGTCCAACACCTTTGAGCATGTTGGTGTCGACTGTCCTGGACATCCCACAATAAAGGTGGGCAATCATAATAGGGGCCAAGGCATAAGAAGCTCCAGCGACAAGGTTAACGGCTAGCGAGGCATACTCTTAGTGATTTTGCAAGATGAGGCACAAAAAAAGAAGTGGTTGAGTCAGTAAAGAAAAAAGAAGTGGTTTAACGTCTCTGACTTCTATGCCATCCCGGTCGTAAGAAAATGAGAGTAAGCCAGGATAAGCCTTGTCTATATAAGAAAGAAAAAACAGTAACCTCGGCACCAAAAGGAGGAAGGCCAAGGAGGGCAGGGGATATCATAAATTGTTAACCCATCATGCCACAATGAAAATGTCATGGACCAAAATAGGAGAGCCGAACAAAACAAGTGTCCATCGATGATAGGGGTGTCAATGGGCCAGGCTAGGCCCATGAAAAATTTTTCGGGTTAGGCCTAGGTAGGGTAGGCCCTAGTCTTTACTAAAGTGAGTAATCAGGTGGCCCGGGCTGAGTCGGACGTCGAAAAATGAAAGGTTACCTGCAACCCAAACCTTCACTCACTGGACGGGCCTACTGGGCGAGCTAATATATATATCTTCATTTAAAATTTTTTTAATTTATTAAATTACATTTTTAAATTAAAAGTAGAGTCAAAATGTATAAAAAATAAATGACAAATTTTATTTGAAATGAATAATTTAGTATTTCAATAAATAATGAATAATACCCTAGATTACTCAACTTAGTATTTAAGTAAATAACTTTTTTGTTTGAGAGAAATATACTACCTAACTTTCAATGGTCAAATTTTTTTTCAAACAAAGTGGTCGGGCTTGGCTGGGCAAGTGGTTTCTTGGGTCAAGGTTTTAATGAGTTTTTGCAGGTGGGCTAATGGGCCAGGTTTTGGGCTGGGTAATGGGCTTTGGGGGTAGGATCAAGCCCTCTCTTAAAGGATATTGGTTTTAAACTCAAGTGAGCCAATTATCAAGCCTATTGTTTTGGGTCCCGTGGGTTAACATGATCCATAGACACCCCTAATCGATGGGCATATTGATGGTGCTAATGTTTATGGCATCGTAAATACCCAAACGTTACCACAAATGGCTTTGACTACTTTAACACGTGAAACCCAAGAAATCCATTCTAAAGAGGGAGCCTTCCCTGAATGAATAGGGTTCTAGAACTCCAGTTAGACCACAGTAAATGTTCTCTAACGAAAAAGGTTCATAGGACTTTGGACATAACCAATAAACATTGGTCAGGATATGTAGTAAAAGCAAGACCAAGGTCCACCCCCGGTGGAGAAGTGTTGAATTTAAGAATAAAGGTATGATGGTCGATTTTGCAAGAAGGAACCTCTGTGAGTGCTTCTTGAAGATTGATAGCGCGAGGGATCACCATTGTAAGAGAGAGAAAGGTTGAAGAGTTCGTATGATGACAAGAATCAAGTCTTAAGGGAGAGTATATATGGGCACAAGCAGCGAATCATTGTAATGATAAAGGGATGTGAACGGATCGCATGATTAGTCGTTTTTTCGTAGATTTGTAAAGATAGAAGAAGGCGAGAGTTTACACATAGAAGCTGCACTGCAAGCACTGAACAATGTGATCAATCCCAAGATGACAAAATAGAGATATTAAGGCAGCAACGGTTCAAATTCGAAGAACCAAAATGACACTTTGAAGATGAAGCACATTCTCGCGTTATTTTTGGAGGGGAGATGACAATATATCCACTCAAATAATAAAAGATATGGGAGTGACACATGACAAGGGCCAACAGCCATGGATCTCGTCATATAGGTGCTATTCACACTAAAATACGTCAAACACAATGTAAATTTTTGTCTTTAAAAGATGTAAGTTCCAGTTCAAAAAAAAAAAAAGATGTAAGTTAAAAAAAATTACAGGTTAGGTCATATAGGTGCTATTCGTCCTAAAATATAATAATTTTATGGTTTGGCACTACAACTAGTGGTAGTGGCGGCAACACCTGAACAGCCCAACCGCATTAACCTCCGTATGAGCCAAACAAAGCATTAAAAGGAATTTCCATTCGTGGGAGAGCATCTGAATTCTCTCTAACCTCTCAATGCGCTGACAAATTTCACAACTTCGGCATCTCCCCCAACCCAGATACCCCTCTCCTCTACCTTATGGCTTTCTATCTCTAAAACTCTCTATCCTGCCTTTCTCTCTCTCATACACCCACACCCACACACACCAAGTTCATACTTCTCAGCTAAACACTCACCAACCAACCAGCCGCACAACACCAGTGCATTTCAATTCTTTTAATTAACACAAACGTCTACAGGGAGACACACACAAACAAATACACACACACACACACACACACTTTCTCTCTCTCTTGATACATGGCTTCTTCTTCACTATGTTTTCCGGCGACGTCAGCTGCCGGACCTCGGACCACTTTCCGAACTGAAACGGCCTTCGTACTCTCTGGCCGTCGTAGGTCGACCCAATTGAGGACTCAGAGATCTTATATTCGGTCCGATTTAGACAGAAATGTCTCTGACATGGGCGTCAATGGTAATTTCAATTTCATAATTTCATTTCACGAATGTATATTAAGCATGTATGTGTCTTGTGTTCTGGAGAAAAGTATTTTGATTTTCTTGTTTGGGCTTTGGTATCAATTTAGGGCTTCATTCATTCTTTTGAGTGTAATTTGGTGGCTGAATTTAGACATATATCAATTGCTATGTTGTTCAAGAAATCTGGCATCTTATTTTCGCTCTAGTTAATTTGAGTTAGATACTATTAGTTTGAGGTTCAATTCTATGGCTTTTATTGCTAAAAGCCTTGATTTACCTCCCAGCTCCAAAAGGGTTATTTCCACCAGAACCTGAACATTATAGGGGACCCAAGTTGAAAGTGGCTATCATTGGAGCAGGGCTTGCTGGCATGTCGACTGCAGTGGAGCTTTTGGATCAAGGCCATGAGGTTAAAAAATGTTCCTTATCTTTTTCCTTTGTTACCTCCTTTTTGATCTATCAAATGCTCACATACATTTCCTACTTAATGCTTCTTTAAAAGTCTATCTACAACATCCAATAAATTTATGATTATGTCTAGAGAGTATGACGTAGGAAAGTAACAGAGATATTGAAAATATATAACATTAGCTTACGTGGCACTTATGGTTCCAACCATAAAAAAATAGCAGAATGATTGTCACATTTTACTCTCAAGAGCAGAGTAGCAGACATACCTGTAAGGTTCATTAGATCTGGGTATTTTACTGATTTCTTTGAGTATTAAGACTTAGTGACTTAGAGTTTAATTCTTACAGGTGGATATTTATGAGTCGAGGTCTTTCATTGGGGGAAAAGTGGGTTCTTTTGTTGACAGACGTGGAAACCATATTGAAATGGGACTGCATGTTTTCTTTGGATGCTACAACAATCTTTTCCGTTTGATGAAAAAGGTGAAGAAACCTTTCTTTTTCATAAGGATATGATTATTTTATAATTGTACATTTATTATTAGCTTTGTTCTAGTATTTATTAAGAATCAAAGTTCCTAAGCTGAATGCAAAGAATATAGCTTTGACGCTCATGAATCTGCAAAAAGGGAAGTTTCCCTAATTTGGAAGATGCCATATGGTGATTGTTTATAGGAATTTATCGTGTAACCTTTTGTTGCCCAATATCGTTTGATGTGTTTGCTTGGATCTCATAGTGGGGTTGGTTTTGGTCCTCCGGATCATACTAAAATATTAGCATAAGAAAACTTATGTTGCTATTGCTGTTGAATTAGTCTTCAAAAAACCCATTAAAGCGATGTTTAGTTTTACCTTTAAAGGCAGATAATCAAAATAGGGCCAAGATACCTAGGGTAGTAGCTTCCAAGCTAGTGTACTTTTGCCACTCATATATTGCTTGTAATGCTTTTTCATTAACATATTTGTGGCTTACCTAATGCTTTACATGTATTTCTTATGCACCCAGGGATTGTATGTATGCCATTATGTTAAGGTTGGAGAGAAATAGATGTGTGCGTTTAGAGTAAGAATGGAGAATACAACTGCTTGTGGGAGAATCCGACAACTGAACCCTCAATGAACCTAAATCGACCACTTATCTTGTAATTTTGCAAAATTGTTTTGGCCCTAATGTATGGATGTAACAGTTCTTAAGTGGTGTTTGTGGGTTCTGTATATGAATTTAGGTACATGAACCAGGACAGGCATTTGTGGTTTTGATTACCACAGAAATCAGTTTAATGTAGTTTTGGCCTGTGTGCCTTTTTATTTTCCATAGTCTGGTAGTTGAAAGTGTTAATCCCTATTTATTCTGCTCAATTTAGTAAGAAGCCTTTTTGCTTTCTTCAAGTTCGCATGAATATGTCAGAGCCAAAGTTGCAAATTTTTAATTAAGACGGCGGTCTCTGATTGTTATTCTTGAATCTATACTTAACCCAGGTGGGTGCTGATCAAAATCTGCTTGTGAAGGAACATACTCACACTTTTGTGAACAAAGGGGGTGAAATTGGTGGTATAATTTGAAGCTTACTTCATAAGAACTTTACCTTATAGACAAATATGCTTTTCTGTTTGATGTTACTTTTGCCTATGGCTTGAAAGAACTTTTCTTTCTCCACGGTCATGCTTATATTAGAGTAATAACCCGACAAAGAGAGTGTTTTACTGCAGAACTTGATTTTCGCTTTCCAGTTGGAGCACCATTACATGGTATTAGCGCTTTTTTGTCTACGAATCAACTTAAGGTAATATCTTTTTAATAAGTATTTACGCAGTCCATTATTTCTAATCAACAATAATGCTCATTTTTGACAATGCATGTTTATCTTGTTGCTTGTTAGCTCCATGTGCGAGCCCCGATTCCCATGTGAGGGAGAGAGATTGTATCCCAATGACTAGTACCACCCAAGGTTAATTTATGTACTTGAGGGGCCTCTCCACTCATTACCATTGGTTTTGAGTTAGATGCTCTAACACTATTCATGTTTCAAGAAGATTCATAATTACAATTCGATAAGGTACATGTTAACATCATTGAATTTTGTTTGGTTGGTTGGTTCGTGCTCTTTTCCTTTCTTTTTGGTTGTCTTTTTTATTTCTGGTTTTCTTTGCATTTCATTTTTGTTTCTGAAAAATATAAGCATGTTCCATATCCATCAGCTTCCAAACTTCCAAAAAAATTGAATGCATAACTTTTGCCATTTTTCTCGCTCCCAAGTGTCTTATAAAACAGATAACATATTATGCTGATTGATGTGACATAGTAACTGCTGACAGGTCGCATCCTTGAGTATGAACCCAGTATTCCTATCGATACTGGTCAATTCTTTGTCTTAGAAATCCTTAAAGTTGGTTGAATTAGTTCCACAATCTCCTGATCCTGTTCAACACCCGTCCCCCCTGCCCCAGCCAAATACACTTGCACACATAATCCTAGTCTAAGTTTAATCTTGATTTGGATTTATAAACTTATATATTATTTAAGAAGCTCAATTCTTGTTTGATATTGTGGAGGATGTTGGTCTTTTGGTTGAGAGATAATTAAAAAGCTTCTTGGAGGGGTTTCTATTTTTTCTGAGAGCAAGAATTATAAACACTGCAAAATAATTTTGTTTGGCAATGTGAAGTTATAATCTTGCTTAATAGAAGCACCAAAGGATAGACAACACAAATATATGCAGAGCATGTAAGAGCAAACACAGTACTAGTTAACCTAATTGCAATTTCTGAAGTATGTTTCAAAAGCAAAATAAGAAAAAAGGTTGCTTCAGTGTCAAAGTACAAAGGTTAAGCAACCACCAGTGTAGCTGTCATCACGTAGATGTACTCATCATTTCCTTCAATAACTCCACTGGCATCTCCCCATCATTAGCTTAACTTTCACATTGCTACCACTCTATTTTCATCAATGTCACCACATTATACATTGTTGCTTCTACTTCCCTTTTGTCATCATCATGCACCAGTGTCATACAATTATCATTGGTACAAAGTACAAACTTCGAAATACCATGCGACCCTTACTTTCCTATTCTTGTGGAATAATTTTCTTGTAAATTGCATTTCCAGTAACATTTAATTGGTGATTTGTGTCAGAAGGAAAAAATTGAAAGCGTGCAATTCTTTTTACTGATTATTATATTCAGAAGTTGAAGGGATTAATGGCTAGGTTCAAATCTTGATTGGAATCTTGCTTTTGATGTCCTTTGTGTTCGATTTATCATCCGCAGACTTATGATAAAGCAAGAAATGCTGTAGCTCTTGCCCTAAGTCCAGTTGTGCGGGCTCTTATTGACCCAGATGGAGCAATGAGGGACATACGGAATATGGATAATGTAAGAAACATCTTAAGATCTTTCACAATCAAGTGGTTTAGATTCTTCAAGTGCTCGGAAGGGAATTGTCTTGTTTTTTTCCCCGGAATTTAGGGGGACTGTCTATTTTTAGGACAGAACTATATTCTTTTTTGTATCTCTTTTTTCTTACTCTATTACTCTGTTATTGAGAGTTCTATTTACTTCTTACAGATTAGCTTTTCTGAGTGGTTCTTGTCGAAAGGAGGCACCCGTATGAGTATCCAGAGAATGTGGGATCCTGTAGCTTATGCTCTTGGGTTCATTGACTGTGACAATATTAGTGCTCGTTGTATGCTCACCATATTCTCATTGTTTGCAACTAAGACTGAGGCTTCCCTATTGCGCATGCTAAAAGGTTCTCCTGGTGTTTATTTGAGCGGCCCCATCAAAGAGTATATCACAGACAGAGGAGGCAGGTAGAATCTGCGGCATAGGAAATTCTTCTCAACTGATGGGATACTGTTTAAATGTTGTTCTTTCATGTAAATTTGTTGTTTTCTTCTGCACCTGGAACTTATTTCTCTGCTGGAACAGGTTCCACCTCAGGTGGGGATGCAGAGAGTTACTTTACGATAGATCTGCTGATGGAAACACATATGTCACTGGAATAGCATTGTCTAAGGTAGACTGCTTCCATTGTGCTACTTTTGAAAACAAATCAAACAATCAAGCTTACCATTACACAGGGACTGGAGTTTCATAGTCAATTGGGTTAATGTCTGCACTAATAAGAACATCTCTGGATTAACAATACAGCCTCTTTTCCTTTTCTGCATGTGTCTGTAGTTCGAAAACAGTGTACCATTGTTGTGAATTTGGTAAAACACTAATATGTTAGAAATATGTGGAGACATAGTTTCTTGAGAAGGGAGGAAGGAAAAAATAGCCACCTGAAGTGCATAGCTTTGATTAATTTGTTACAAGTACTTCTAGTATATAACTAATTCTGAACCATATCTGCTGAACTTCTTACAATTTTGAACTTGAAGATATCTCTCTATATATATGTGCATGTTATGAATATAATGTAATGTTTAAAGCAGGGCAATCTATATTTGTCATCAAGGGCCCCAAGGAACTGTCAATAGATGCTGACCTTACATCTTGATTTGACAATTGGATCTTGTGCATGAGCATGTGTTTGCTAGTGTTTTGAGTATGCTTTGGTTACAGATGACGAATATCTCTCTCGTTCTTCCAGGCTACTCAGAAGAAAATTGTGAAAGCTGATGCTTATGTTGCAGGTTTGTAAAACCTCACTCTCCATAATTTATATTTCCTTCTTTTTCACTTCAGGTGCATTGATCTAATCTCTGAATCTGTTCCATCTGATGGCAGCATGTGATGTCCCCGGAATTAAAAGATTAGTTCCATCAAAGTGGAGGGAGTGGGAATTCTTTGATAATATTTATAAACTAGTGGGAGTGCCTGTTGTCACTGTGCAACTCAGATATAATGGCTGGGTTACAGAGCTACAGGATTTAGAACGATCCAGGTGAGCCTCTTATAAATTTGAAGTTACTATGATGTGAAGTGGTTCTTGCTGATATTTTGGTGCATAAATTAGATCTGCTTAGATTTCATTCATAATCATTGACGAAAAGTAACTTGCCTCTCGCATATCAGTAAACTTAACTTTCCACTTTGAAATTGTCAGGCAGTTGCAGCAGGCTGCTGGGTTGGATAATCTCCTTTATACACCAGATGCAGATTTCTCTTGCTTTGCAGATCTTGCACTCTCATCTCCAGAAGATTACTACCTTGAGGGGCAAGGCTCATTGCTCCAGTAAGAAAAGTTATCTTTCATTTTTTTTGAGTGTATGTGTATTGGCTATTATGCATATGAAGAGTGTGCCAGTCAGCCTGCTCAACAGATAGAGAGGCTTCGTTGAGCAGGCTAGTGTATTATATTTTCCTCACTATTTTCGGTGGCTTACAGATGTGTGCTTACACCTGGCGATCCCTACATGCCATTACCAAATGATGAGATCATAAAGAGAGTTGCAAAGCAGGTTAGTTCCATTTAGTAGAGGCGTGTTTATTATTTCAAAGTCAAACTAAGCATCATGGTCTTGGATATCAGTATCATTGACAGTGTCAATGAGCATAGAAACCAACCTATATTGGTGATTCTTTAACTCAGAATCACTTGTAAGTCTGTATCACAAATGATGTGCGTGCATAATGCATGAAAAATTCTAAAAGATATGAATAAGCCAACAAATAGAAAGTCAAATTGGAATATTTGTGTAGCTATGGCTACATTGCACTGGGTACTCAAGACACATTACAGACACTATCCATCAGATTATTGCATGATGCATGTGTGTCGGATGCTGATACAGATGAAGATCAAATAGGAGAGTGTCTTCTGCTTGATTTCATCGACACATAATTAGCGGAGGGTAAAGTAAGAGTATATGAAAAACAGTAATACTCTACACATATCACATGAATTAACAAAAAATATGTTCTTTGCGAATAAGAACATCAGGCTTCTCAAGTCATTGTCATTGCCTTCTGTACTGCAGGAATCATTCTCATTGGTAAACAACCATCTACTCCAAAAGTTTAAGTTGTAGGAAAGGATGTAACTTAAGTATTTATACTTCGCTTTCTCATGTGCACGCTAGATTTTGGGCTTAGCACGTGAAAATCTTTTTAATAATTAGGGTGGCGGCGAGATTCGAACATTCGACTTCTTGCTCTAATGCCATGTTAAACAACCATATAAACTAAAAGGTTAAGCACTCAAGTATTTATACTTCAACACTCATTAATGGCTAATACCATGTTACGCCAATATACTAAACCCAAGAAGACATGTCAAACATCCACCAATGTATTTTCGATATTAGGGTGATTTTGGGGATGAGCTAGCACTTATACTAAGACTTAGTCAATGATACTTAGGTCTAGGGGTGTCAATCGTGTCGGTTTAAACGGTTACGTATCGGGTTAAACAAGTGACGGGTGAAAAATATACAAACCCATACACGACATGTTTAATAAATGGGTAAAAATTTTCAACACGAACCGTTTAATAAACGGGTAAAAATTTTCAACACGAACACGAACCGTTTAATAAACGGGTAACACGACACGGCTCGTTTAACCCATTTAAAAATAGCAAAAAAAGAACAAAGAAAAAAATTATTATTTTAACAAATTTTTATACTCCATTTTTTTGGCTTCCAAGTGTACTTTCCTCAATTAGAGGAGTTCCAGCCAAAGCCAACAACCAACAGCCACAGCTAACAACCAACAGTCATAAGCCACACGGTCAGCTAAAAGCAAGAGGCCCACGGCCTCTTTTATAGACAACAAAGCTCCGTCCCTCTGCTCTGGCGATGTGGGATTCAAAGAAAAGGCAAGTGAATGCCCCAAAGGCTCAAAATTTGTTTCCTATTTTTTTAAATTGATTTCTTTACTTTTTTTTTTTGAATTGTTTTTTTTATTGTTTTTCCTTTACTTATTCATTATTTTATATGTATATAAAATAATTATTAATTTATTATTATATTAAATTTATTTAAACGGGTAAACAGGTGATAAACGGGTTGACAGGTCTCATCTAAACACGACCCGTTTATTAAACGTGCTTAACAGGTCAACCCGTTTATCACTCAAACCCGTTAAGGCCTCACACAAATCCGTTTAATTCGTATCGATTCGTGTTGGTTAATCATGCCGTGTCAGATTTTGACAAGCCTACTTAGTTCCTAAGAAGTATGGATACAGGCACGAAACATTGATACGACACGACAAGAACACACCAAAATTTTTTCAAGAAATTAGGACCAGATTACATATTATATTTTCTTTATTATATATACAATCAGATAATACTGTTGTCAATCAAGTGTTGAAAATTAGTAAATTCTAAGAGGTCAACTTAATGCAATAGTGGATTAATCCAACCTTGATTTTCATAATTTTAATTCCCAATTCCCCTCAATTTGTAACTCTAATTTTCATTTAATTTCGCATTCCTAATTTTCATAGAATTACTTGCTTGCAAATAGTGGATTTTATTTGTACTCAATTTCGTAGCTCCACTTGAATAGTCATATCCAATTCGTATTTGTATCCTGTGGCCCTATGGTGATTATGATTCTTTTCACATTACAACTTTGACCACTATCTCTTTTAAAATTACAATAACAATAACAATTGCTTATTTGTAAATCTCCCTGATAAGTTCGTACAAGTTTGAAAAAATCCCAAAACATGTCCTTTGTGTGTCACGTGCATGTCGGTCATGTGTCCCATGCACGTTAGTCGTTTGCTCCAACGTGTCCAGAGTAAAAAATAATAGAAATTTGACATTCATTCTATTGTGTCCGAAACGTGTTCAAACATATCTAGAGCGAGTCTGTATGTAAGATGTGTCCAACACTAACACTCATACTCAAACCAAAATAAGGTGTCCATACTTACTAACTTAGGACATGCCAAGTATAGACTTTTGTTCTCCTCAAGTAAGCTAATCTCTCTTTTATCTCTTCATCCTGTTTCTCCATCCCTGAACCTCGTGTCTACTTGTCTAACTCATATAATAGGGGTGCAGAGATAGTGGTCTCAAAATGAGATGAGGGTTGAGGAATCAAGGAAGTAGTAGAAGAATCAGAAGATAACTCTTCCAACTAAACTACCCTTGAAGAGTGGCCTTCAAACTAGGAAAATAGGATGTGGACTAGAAAAGTAATATTAATAGTGACCAAGGGTCATCGAATATGAAAATCAAAACATCGATACCCTTTATGGTTGACCGAGCAACCTAATAAAACATATGTAAGGACTCTAGGATCAAGTTTGCCTTGAGACTGCACTTCAACAAAATGCTGAGGATGAAAACCCCAAGAACTTGAGAGGAGTCTTCAAAGATAAAACAAGAGAAGTTATTCGACTGATGAGACAGGTTGTTGTAAGAAATGCATCACCAAAAAGTTTGGGGAACATGCATAGTGAAAAGAGCGCTCAAATTACTTCAAAATCATGCTATGATAATTTTTAAAACAAGTATAGACCTCACTTTTGCCATGAAGCAAGAAAAATCATCCATAAATGTAACAAACCATTGATAACCAAAAAAAGTAGGAAACTTGAGAGGCCCCACACATCAGAATGTATAATTGCAAAAGGTGAAGTGCTTTTGGTTAAGGTTGGAGGAAAAGAAACACAACTATTTCTATAACTTAAAACACTTCACACTCACAATTGAGAGACATTCAACTTTATAAATAAGAAGGAAACAATTTCTATAATAAAGAAAAGGAAAGATGACCAAAGGGTTGATGTCATTGAATGAGATAATCTACAGATGAACCAATGTCAAAATTAGTAGACTTAAAGGTTTGTCTCTTTACTGGGGCCTAGATGTTGGAGAATCTAAGCGATAAACATCATTCTTCTTACTTTCACTGACAGTCATTCTTTTTGTATCCAAGTACTAAGAGACACAATGAATAGGAAAAAATGTCATACTAAATTTCAAAGATTTAGCTATGCTATTAACAAATTAAAGGTTCATAGAAAATTAGGAACAAGCAGAACAGATGATAAGAGATATTAATGGAGAAATAGAAATACAACGTTTACTAGAAATATTTGATAAAGAGTCATCTGCTATCCTAGTGTTATCCTTATCCCTACTTGAACAAAGTTGAGACCAAATTTGACAAGCTTGTTATTCAATCAAATGCCCTTGGAGCAATGATCTTAGACCAAGGTTCAAAGTATTGACCGATTCTTGTATATGATACACAAATATTACGAGTCGCAATTGATATGGCCTTGGCTCGGTTACGAATCGGACAACTCGGCTATACTCGAAGTCATCTCGCTAGAATTGGACGATTTATAATCAAGTCAAACCGATACATGATAGAATCGTCCACAAAAAGCAAAACGCCAAAGCAAGGCACACAAAGAGAAAAGAAGAACATGAGGCCCACACTCAGATTCACACATTTCATGCAATTTTTGATTCCTAAACACACCACTTTTTCAAATGTACAAAAAAAGATCGAATTGGATGACTTAGTGACACACACCTGTGCAATCAAAGTTGAAGATATTGCAGCGAATACAGATTACTAGGACTGCCATCTTCTCCTTCTTCTTCTCTATGCAGATGTCAAGGTTCTGCAACCAAAAGTTGCTTCATCTCTTTGTCTCTAACTATATCTCTCCGATAGCAGCAAAGAGATGATCCTCTCATGTCTCCTCTCTCTCTCTCTCTCTCGTTGGAATATGTGGCTAAAATTCCTCAATATTAATTAAGCCATAATTGGTGGTCAAATATGGAATATATAAAACCCCAATTTGTTGATTAAAAATTGCATTATTCATGACATATATCATAGATGCATTTTTTTTCAAATTATTATATATTAAATATTATTTTATAATGATGCATGCATACATATATATTACATTGATATACTTGGATGTTTGAGTTGGATCTTTTCTACTCAGTATGGGTGACTTGGCTAGAGGGACCCATCAAATAGTGAAAGACTAGTCAATCTTACGTGGAGTGTAATTAGCTTTCTTTGACTGGAGAGGGTTGAGAAATATTGGTAGAGTTGAGAAAAATTTGGGGGAGTTGAGGATATTATGCTGAGTGGTAACGACTAGTTGGACGACTAGCTGATATATCCTCTCCTATAAATAAGTTTTTCTGCATACAAAAAGAACACACTTGAAAACACTCAATTTGAGAGAAAATTTATTGAGGGAAAATCTTAACTCTACTGCTTTCATATTAAAGAGAATTTTTAATTTTCAAAGGCTAGCTCTCCATTCATCAAATTTATCAAATTCTATTCTGCAAACTCCTACATTGGTATCAGAGCATCAGTCCATCAAATTATTTTTTGCCGTCAAAATAACTTTGAAAGTTTTGACTGAGGCTAACATTCTGCCATATTAGGTGTCTCAGACACCTACACATCCTACGAAGAAGAAAAGCCCGTCAAAGTCTTATACACCTATACGTATTCTCACATTTTGGCCAATTTTT